CGGGCCTGGCCGGCCCGCGCCGCCGCCTCCCTGCTCGCGCGCGGACCCCTCCCCGGAGGCCACCCCCGGACCCCTGCCCGCGGACCGACAGACAAAGGCCTCCAGGCCGCCGGCTCCCCGGGCCCCTCGGGTCCACGCCGCTGCCCAAATTGCGCATCGGGAAGCGCCCGGCAGCCGGGCCCGCCTTAGAGGGTCACGACGGTAGGATCCCTGCTGATCCATCCCGCGCGCTTCTTTGTGCCCGACTCCGAGTTAAAATGTTTACATGGATCCGGCGATGCAATGATCTTAACAGCCCTTGGAGGAAGCGGACGCAGCATCCCCTGCTTGCGGGCGGAGAGCACAGATTTCGATGTGGGACCGCGGATAAATCTGGCCCTGGCACACTCGCCGTGTGACCTTGCGGGGTAGCGACTTCCCTTCCTTTTGAGCCTCATGCATCGACTTTAGGCGGTGATAATTAGACCTACCTTTTGCTGTTAGTTATTAAATGAGATGATGTGTAAGGAGCATTTACGCGGGGCCCGGCTCTCGGGAGGCGCGCAGGAAATGTTAGCAGCCCTTGTCGTCACTGTTATTGTTGCTGCAACTGGCCCCATTTTATAGATGGAGAGCGGAGACACAGCATTCCTACTGCTACGCCAAGGTCACGCCGCGAGCGAGTGCGTGCGTGCCGGGTGGAGATTTGAACGGGGTCCATCGCCAGGGCCCCTCGTGCCGCTAAACCATAGTGCTCGTTCTCTGTGTCTCAAGGCTGCCTTTGATTTCGCGTGTCTGCCTTTGAGTCTCTGTGAAGCTGAGGGGGTGTTTCTCTCCTTGTAGGTGGCCTTCCCTTATGAAACACTACAGCCCCACCGACTACGTCAATTGGTTGGAGGAGTATAAAGTTCGGCAGAAAGCTGGGTTAGAAGCCCGGAAGATTGTAGCCTCCTTCTCAAAGAGGTTCTTTTCAGAGCACGTAAGGATCTGTTGATGTAGCTCCCGGCTTTTGCCTACTCCAGTGGTGCATGGGTCTGGGTCTGGAGGCTTCAGCTCATCCAGCTCTTTTCCGTATCCGTTTTTCAGTCCTCACAATCCCTTACTCACTTAGATGGCCGCAAGAGTCATTGTGTCCTTTTCCTCCTATCCAACAACACGAAGCCATTTGTCCCTGCCAGCTTTACTTTTCTAAAGCCAGCGAGAGAATGGGGCTGGAGGGGGAGGGACGGAACTGCAGCACAATGTAGAGGGAATCCAGATCAGCATTCTTTCCCTGCAAGGGGGTTAAACCTATTTTTCGGAGCCTCCCCTTGAGTTGGGGAATCATCAGTGATTGAACGCTGTACAGATTTCACCCAGTAGTTTTCCCGGAAGGGTTGACGAAATTAATACAGTTTTTCTTCTCTGTGGCTTTGAAGATTCTAACCCGTGGTGAATAGCACTATTTGTTAAGGTAGCAGAGGATTAGAAGCGATCTGTAAATCAGAATTATTATTCCCTCAGCTAAATTATCTTACATTACATATCATTATCCCCGAAAAGTTTTTGGATCTTTGTTGTTTTTCTTAATATTGCTGAAATGCATGGGGTTTTGTTGTTTGTGTTTTCCCACAAAGTGTCTCAGAGTTTCTGTATCAGGTCCTGGTTCTTTTTGTAACTCTGGGAAGTAGTTCACACTAATCTTTTAAATTTATTTCTTAGTACAGGGGTTGGGGGGAGGTCTGGAAGTAGAGCCAGTCTGATTTATTTATTTTTGGGTTTTTTTTTTTTTTTTTTTTTTTTAAGTAAACTGTACGCCCAATGGGGGGCTTGAACTCATGACCCCTGAGATCAAGAGTCACATGCTCTACCAAATGAGCCAGCCAGGCACCCCTGATTTATTTTACTATCATGGTTTACCGAAGATTAATTCCTCTTTTCTTCTTTCTTTCTTTCTTTCAAGATTTTATTTTTAAGTAATCTCTACACTCTATATGGGGCTTGAATTTACAACCCCAGGATCAAGAGTTGCATGCTCTACCGACTGAGCCAGCAAAGCACCCCGATCAATTCCTGTTTTCTAATGTTAATTAATATTACTTCATAGGGTTCATACATGCAGAGTGTTTTCAAGGCTTTTCAAGTTTTGAAGGGGAAAATTTGAACTTTGGACAAATTTGAACTTATTCTTCTGTGGAGAATAAAACTAGATCCTCCCCAGTATAATTCATTTCTATAAATAAACGTTCATTGATATTAGGATGGGTAGTTTATGTTCTGGATGAGCCACATCCTGGCTGAAAGCATTCATACCATGTTTTAAAAACTGGTACAAATTGTTTATGGGTGCTAGATACATTTGATGCACTTTGTCATGGGCCGCTGGTTTGCAACTCCTACTTCTAGTCCAACTGGTTTTGTGTGCATTTTTAACAGCCTGTGTGTTTGTCCAATAATGATGAATTGTTATGTTTTTTTCCTTAGCTCCCTCTTTCCCTGTACCACTGCCTAATTAGAAGTATGTCAAAGACTTTGAACATAGTAGGAATATACTTAAGATTGATCAGTGGGCGAATGATTACTTTGGCTCAGGACCTTTCTATTCCTGTGTTCTCTGCATGCACACAGGTTGACATGAAATTTCCTGGCTACGTTTAAAACCAAGTGGGGGGCGCCTGGGTGGCTCAGTCAGTTAAGCGTCCGACTTCAGCCCAGGTCATGATCTCACAGCTCGGCTCGTGAGTCGGAGCTCCGCATCGGGCTCTGTGCTGACAGCTCAGAGCCTGGAGCCTGCTTCAGGTTCTGTGTCTTCCCCCCTTTCTCTGCGCCTCCCCTTCTCATGCTCTGTCTCTCAAAAAATAAAAAAATGTTAAAAAAAAAGTGTTAAAAAAAAAAAGTGGAAGAATTAATAGAATTTTAAAGCTCATTGGTACCATCACCTAAATTTACAAAGGAGAAAATAGGCCCAGTGAGTTGAGCTACTTGCCCAAAGTACTAGACTTCTCTCTCTGGGTCTCTGCTCCTACTTGACTGCCTCATAAATTGCATGAAATCATTGTGAATTATGATACTGAAGCTACAGACTATGAAAATATAATTAATGTACAATTGACAATAAAATCTGAACAAATTCTTGATACTGGACATTACTTTCCAGCCATGGTGAGTGGTACAAGATAGCGTAGGATAGCAGTTACCACTGCCACGAACATGAGCATCTTTGTATCTCAGATTTGTGTATGAGAGTGACAGCACTGTTGCCTGTGACTGAGGCCTGTTTGTATATGTCTTCTTCATAGGTCCCTTGTAATGGTTTTAGTGACATAGAGAATCTTGAGGGACCAGAGATATTTTTTGAGGATGAACTGGTGTGTATCCTAAATATGGAAGGAAGGTAAGTCATAGTTTTAGCAGGGATTGTTTTTTGTTTGTTTGTTCTAATAATAATGCCCAGAATTAACTGCTGTAATTTGTATGTGGCCGAGCCCTGGGACATGGGTTTCCAAATCTTTCCATTTCATTCTTGCTGTAATGATATTTTTGAAAAATTCTGTGTAAATAATATAAATACACTAAGACAATTGATATTTAAATAAACCTTACAAAAATCTTTTTGGGAAGAAAAGAGAATGTGTATTTGTTCCCACTGTGGGTCACATACTGGGCTCTGGGAACTTGTATCTGTTATGCCATTTAGTAATATAAACTACCCTTCCTTTGTTATGACCTCTCCATCCACCATCACTGAATTTGTCTGTTATGGGTTGATTTTTTTTTTTTTTTTTTTTTTTTTTTTTTTTTTAACAATTTCTGAATTTGGGTAAGAAGTCATCTTACTTTGGCTATGAACATTCTAGGTATCTGGTTGAGTCCTTCTTTTATGTCTCCTGATCAAGAAGAATCCATCATCTCTTGGTTGTTGCTTAAAAATTTTTATGCCTTCTATTTTCTGCTGTGAAGGTTAATTTCCAGTTTACCAAAAAAGATGACTTGGCTTCCAGTGTAACATACCTGTGAAAAAGGTTTTCTGCTCTAGCAGTTTGGAAACTATTAGTGATGGAAGGTAGAAATGTAGCTTAGCATCTTCCTTAAGAGAGCTCACTGTGATATGTCTCACAAACAAGAAGTAAGGTATTCTTCTTGTTCTTTTTAAAGGGATTTAGGAGAGAGAAATGTCTATCAGTGGAACAACTGTAGGGGAGAGGTAAGATGTGCCACTATTCTAGGCCTTGGATGAGTTCAGATGCAGAGGTCATTTTTCCGTTTCTATTTTGGTTTATCTATAAATGAATTAAAGTATGATCTAATAGTCAGCATTGTGCAGCCTTAAAAATAAAAGCTGGCCTGTCTTTTTTACATATATATGCATATACTTTAAAATACATAAATGTAACATATATACTAAGTTTATTAGTTATTTTAGTTTTTTTTAATTTTTTTTTAAACATTTATTTGTCCTTGAGAGACAGAGAGAGGCAGAGCATGAGCAGGGGACGGGGAGAGAGAGACACACACAGAATCCGAAGCAGGTTCCAGGCTCTGAGCTGTTTGTTAGCACAGAGTCCGACGCGGGGCTTGAACTTACGAACTGCGAGACCATGACCTGAGCCGAAGTTGGACGCTCAACCGACTGAGCCACCCAGGCGCCCCAAGTTATTTTAGTTTTGATTTGATGTTGAGTGCAGACTTTGTTTCTTTTTGCTTATGCTGTTTCTCCCTTCCTCCTTACTCCCTCCATTTGTGTTGGTTTCCCGGCCCCGCCCCTGTAATTAACTTAGGTTGCCAACTTAGGTTGTGTTCCTCATGCCAATATACATCGGGTAGGTGGGGATGGGAGCACATCGTTATTTCACAAAATTGTGATCATTAAATAGGTACTTTCCTGTATCTTTTTTTTCTCATTCAGCATTACCTTGTGGAAATCTAATCAACTGATTTGATTCATTTTATTAATGGCCGTTTACTGTTTTACAGTATGTAGCACAGTTTATTTAACTACCCTGCTATCGATGAGTAACCACTATCTTCTCCATCTTATGTTGCTGGGGAGGGTGATGTTTTTCGTGGTGTCATTTCTAAGTAATAGGCTCGTAGGAATGAGTGTCCGAGGTCAGGCTATAGAAGGTTATTAAAAAACATAAAAGATAGTGTGTCCTTGGGTGGGGAGACTTATCACAAAAATGTCAGTTCTTCTAAAATTAACACATAACCCTAGTGCCATTCCATTTCAGTTCCAAAAGGAGTTTGGGGAGAGGAGCGTTTTTTTTGTGTGTTTTAATTGGATAATATTGGCATAAAATATATTGAGAACAATAAATTCACTAGAAAAGCCAGAAAAAAAATTTTTTAATAATCACGATGTAAGACTTGCATCACTAGATGATAAGGCATATGATAAAGCTAGCTGTAATCAAAACAATATAATGTTTAAATGAAAGTTGAGAGCGACATCAGTGATAATAATTCAGAAACAGGTCCCAGAATAGAAGATAATCTATTTAAAGTCAGAGGGGGAAAGATGGCATATTTAATAAATAGTATTGGAGGTAACTGAATATTCATCTGGAAGAAATTAGAACATCATGTAGCAAAATTAAGTTCCTCAAGATTAAATTACCTAAATTTAAAAGTTATCACAATGAAAATCCCTCAATTAAATAGACTTCATGTCCAATCTAGGGAGACCTACTTAACCAAGACTGATAATACAAAAGCAGTACAAGAATATAGACAAAGGGTTTTTCAATAAGAAATAAACTTCCCTATGAGCAAAGAAACTGTAAAGAAAGCCAATAGAATTCTTAAAATTTCTAAGAGGAAATTGAAAAATGTACAAAGGAGGAAGACATTCAGAAAAGAGCAAATCCAAGTAGCTGAGAATCATGTAGATCTTTAAATTCACTCTTCACAGAAATGTTAAGTAGTAACAAAATATTGCTTTTTTCACCTCTCTCATTGGCAAAATGACTAAATAGGCACAGCCAATTAAAAAGTATACTGGTGGGGCACCTGGGTGGCTTAGTCAGTTAAGTGTCTGACCAGCTCAGGTCATGATCACAGCTCATGGGTTCGAGCCCCACATCAGGGTCTGTGCTGACAACTCAGAGCCTGAAGCCTGCTTTGGATTCTGTGTCTCCCACTGTCTTTGCCCATCCCCTGCTCACACGCTGTCTCTTTCTCCTTCAAAAATAAATATTTAAAAAGATTTTTTAAATTAAAAAAAAAGTATAGTGTTACCGTCTTTTTAGAAGTAAATGTCATAGATATGTCACCCCTTGGCCTGACATAATTTGAGCCTAAAACAGTGTTATTTTTTTTCAACATTTTTTTTTTTTTTGAGACAGAGCATGAACGGGGGAGGGGCAGAGAGAGAGGGAGACACAGAATCGGAAACAGGCTCCAGGCTCCGAGCCATCAGCCCAGAGCCTGACGTGGGGCTCGAACTCATGGACTGCGAGATCGTGACCTGGCTGAAGTCGGACGCTTAACCGACTGCGCCACCCAGGCGCCCCTAAAACGGTTATTTTTAAATGACAGGGAATATGCTCACATTTGTAAATATTTTGGGATACTTTACATTTGTAAATATTTTGGGTATTCTTGAAGGAGCCTGTTTGTTTTCATTCCCGGCAAATGCTTATTGTGCAGATATGGAAAGTATAAAAAGGAAGAAGGATAGTTTTCCAAAAATGCTAAAGCATTAATCTCTGGATATTTGAAAATATTTTGCTTTTATGGTGTTCTGTGTGGTCTTTAAAAAGAGTTCATCTTCAATAAAGATTTGAAACAACATATTAAAAATGGCATACACTATGCTTGAGAAAATGACCCAGAGTGACCATCACTGAAACATTTCAGTAAACCTACTGGATTTTAAAAGAAAAGTCCTTTGGGCATCCAAGCAAAAAAGATGAAGTCACTTACAAGGGAAAGAAAATCAGAATATCATCAGACTTTTCAACAACTGCTGTGTGTCAGAGGAAAAAACAATAACATATTTAAGATGCTCAAGGATCAAAAATGTCAGCCAAGGATTTTTATATCCAGCCAAACTGACTTCCAAGTATAAAGACCGCAGACCCAAACTTACCAACTTGCAAGGACTCAGGGACTTTTGAGCCCTTCATGAGAAATGTTCTAGAAAATAGGACAGTGTCAGACAACCAAAACAACCAGAGAGACACTGACACAAGGACTAATGGTGACCATCAAATCCGTATTTATTTGTAGGATTACATCCAAGTGACAGTTAATAGGGTAGAAGGTATTGTATCTAATGGCCGTAAACCTTTTTAATATAGATGTAGTACAGCTGTTTAAAAAGCTGAGCAGAGAATAGGGCAGAATGTAAGCAAAATAAATTTAGCTGTTTTCAGTACTCATCAAGGTGATAAATATATTGGTCTCGTTATTCTGAGGCTTGGTATATGTATGTTTCTAAGAGAGATGTGGAATAAAGCAGACGAGTAACTAGGTAATATTCTAAGTCATCTCTGGTATCCTGGATAAGTAGAGTATTCCTGGAAGAAAGAAAGCTATAGATACAGAATAGGAAATGGTAAAAACTGTATAGTTCTGAATTTGACTTAGAAGTGTCAGTATGAATTCCTGATGTATATTTAAAAATAATGTAGGTGTATGTGTGTATATACACACATAGATACATGAGATTTATTATTTCTATCCATTGAAAAGGTTCAGAAACAACAACCAGCCTAGTAGAAATGATGATCCCTAGTAGTCAGACAGTGGTCTTAATATACCATTTCCCATCAAAAGAAGCCAGGGTTTTGGGGAAAGGGCTGATTCTAGGTCTTATACAGGAATTGTAAAAGATCAGGCTGGAGAATCTTGAAAGCCTGGAACCAGGTATCAGGAGAAGTACCAATATTTCATGTTGTAAGTGTTCAGGGACCAACGTGGAGAGGCTTCCATTGGCCAGAGATAGGATTTGAGCAGTAGCGTGGATAATAACTGGAATGGGTTGAAACACACCAACTGCGTTTAGCTCCGCTAGTTCCTAATAATACTTAGCAACAACTAATTGTTCGCCTCTGGAGGGTAATAGAAATCCAAATTATTATTATTTTGAAAGACAGTAAAAGGAAAGACATGAGCATTTATCCCGCCTTTCCTATATATTGTGCCGTTGGGGGAGCCAGATAGTAGATGAGAGGAAATTATTCCTTGTAGAAATACTCTGGCTAATAAATGAAGAAGGGATGGTGGAATTAGAATATCAGCACTTTGCGACCTCTAACGAATTAACAGACCTGGGCACTGAGGAGCGGTGGCTGCTAACATCAGCAGAGAGACAGCCAAGGCGTGATTGCCTCCTGATGGAAGGACTTCCTTGCCAAATAAACAGAATCTGAATCTGATCAAGCCTCTGCATCCAATTTGCAGGGAATTCAGAAGACAGAAGAGCATGTGAAACTATACCTTGTGGATGCAATCAGCAGATTCCAGACTGGGAAATTCAGGTCACACAACCAGGTTTCTTCAGCAAATAAAGTGCAAGGGACAGAAAAGATGGAGGGGATCCTGTGGATTAAGAGACTTGGAAGACCTCAGAACTGGCTAGAGAGTTTAGGGCTGTACGTTTGGTGAGGCAGTGATGAGCATGGAGGTGTGGGCTGTGATTGCTGTGGGTGGGAGGAGCAGGTCTTGGAGTACTTCTGGGGTGTCTGCAAAGTTTCTCGGCCTGAGTGGTGGATACAGGGTTGTTTGCCTTATACTAATGCATTAAGCTGCTTACTTGTTTCGTGCACTTTTCTAGATTGACACACTTTACAACTCAAAGGTTAAAAGGCTGGTGGAACCTAGCTCTGCTGACGGTCATTTACTAACTGAAGAGTGAGAGGCCTTTCTTTCTGAAGTCACGCAGATAAAGTAATCACTGTCACCCTGGTTCCCATGATCCCCATGTACGTTTGGTATGTCTGGTGAAGTATCTCATCCACTAGCAAGTGTTTATTGAGCTTCTGCTGTGTGCCAGACCTATCCCAGGCACTGAGGATACAGCGGTGAACAACGCAGAAAGCACTGCGTCTGTGGGGCTTACCTTCCAGTGGGGGAGAGAGTCACTAACCTAGTAAGATGATTTAGTACATTAGAAGAGCAGAAGGGGCTCTAGACAGATACTAACCAGGCAAGAGGGTGAAGCGGGGAGAGGGGAGAAGGCCTTACTCAAAATGGCATTTGAATGAAAACCTGAAAGGAGGTGAGGGTGGAGGTTGCAAATCTCCAGGGAACGAACCTTCCAGTCAAGGACCTGAGAGTGCTGAGGCCCCAGGTGAGCACCACAGAGCACAATGGCACAGCAGGGAAGCCAGTGTGGCTGAGGCCGGGCAGAGATGGGGAATAGCAGGAATTGAGGTTAGAGAGGTCATGGGGCAAGAGTTTAAGGCACCGTCGTTAGGACTGGAGCTTTTACTTTGAGCGAGGTGGAAAACCCCTGGAGACTTGGGTACGGGATTTTTGTGCCGTGACTTAACATGTTAACTGAAGCGCTCTGGCTGCCGTGTGGAGGGGCAGGATTTGAAGCTGGAAGCTCAGTGAGGACGCAGATGAGCTAGTGAGAAGTGTTCACCTGTCCGATACACGCTGAAGATAGAACTGATAGCTCTGGTGGATGGCTGGAATGGTCTGCGAGAGCAGGCCAGCAAGGAGGGCAGGATGGCCCCAAGGTTTGCGGCCTGACTGCAGCAGCAGAGTCGCGTTCACCCGAGACATTTCAGGAGCTCACCGGATATCCGAGCGGGGATGTGGAGTAGCAGTTGCACGTAAGGAGAAGTGTGTTCTGGGAAATAAGTTGAAGGCTGCCAGAAACAATATTTGAAACCATGAGACTGGACAAGATCACCATGGCAGTGATCGTAGACAAAGTCGGCCGCCCAGGGCCTGAGTTCCCTGAGGCAGGTGCCCAGCGGCCAGCAAAGGATTCCAGACGCCTCACCCCTAGCTCCTGAGCCTCGACCAACTCTTCAGCCCCAGCTGAAAAGCCCCAGCTTTTCAGGTTTCTCTTGGATTTCCTTTTAGTCAATCTGAAGCCACGCAGGTCAGTGTTTCTTGGATTTCAGCACTACTGATTCAGTGTTACATTACAGATGCAAAGTCCTAAATTGTGTTGTCTGCTTCTGTGATAACAAGTGCTGTGTGGTCATGAACCAGTTATATTCTTGTTAAGTAGACTCTTTACATGCTGTAATTAGTGTGAAGGGAAGTAAAAAAAAAAAAAAAAGTAATCGGAGGTTTTTATAGTGTCTTGATTCTCATTGGCTTGTTTGTTTGTTTTCCAGAAAAGCTCTGACTTGGAAGTACTACGCTAAAAAAATTCTTTACTACCTACGCCAACAGAAAATTTTAAATAACCTAAAGGCATTTCTTCAGCAGCCTGATGACTATGAATCGTACCTTGAAGGTGAGATCTCAGCAATGATCTTCCAATAGGCAGCTAAGTTGTCGCTCTCAGAAGTAGTGGATACCATCCCCAAGGGTGGAGCAGTGGAAACGTGGACCGGGCCAGGCCGCGTGGGCTTCTGGAGGTGGGATTGTGTGGTCTGATCACTTAGGTAGGCAGAACTGCTCACCGTAGAGCTCATTTTGCCAGAATATTTGGCCATCAGCTGAAGCAAGACAGCGCCTTCTGAAGATGCACCATCAGTTCAAAGCACGAGGCTGATATTTTAGCTAATGTTAAATTCCCTGTTTGTCTAAGCTTTCAAGCGTCATTTCCGAATCAGAAATAAATGTATCCAGTTTTGTCTCCATGGGACCTCATGCAGATCCCTTCACCTCCCTGGTTGGAGTTTAAGGAGGACGAAGTGCCCTCGCGCATCAGTGAGTCTGCTTGTCCATAATGAGAAGTGAGGAGGAACAAGTCGAGTGGATGGACGCGGTGAAGGGAATAACTTTCTGTTCCTGCTAAGTCGGGCAAGAGCAAAATGTGACTTAATTTTTTCTTTTAACTAATTTAAATTCCTAGCGTATCACACAAACGCTCCCATAAGTCATGGTTATGGAGTACAGATACGCCTGTCCGTTCACTTTCATTCCCTGCTCCCCACAATTTACCCAGTTCGCCGGTTTTCTTCCTTGCCAGCATTTCCATGGTCATGTCCCCGCTCTGTTACTGTTGTCGTGCGGGCTGTCACCAGCTCTCCCAGCAGCAGCTTTCTGAGTAGCACTTGCTTCCCTGAGCCTCATGGCTTCTGACCCCCTAGTGCTAGTCCAGCCCGAAACCTGGCCTTTCCACCACTCCGAGTGGCCACCTGATTTCCTTTGTTTGTTGTTGCTTTTTGGTGCCTTCCGTAATCCGGACCTCCCCTAGCCCCAGACTTTTCCCCATTACTCTCCAAAACACACCCTTTGCTCCAGCCAGTGTTGTCCTCCCTCCTGGCTTTGTATCTTCGCTAGTGGTATCCCCCTGTCAAATCCTGCTTGCCCGCAAGAGTTCCAGGTCCTGTGTAACTTCCGTTGAGTTTCTGCTGACTACTGCAACGCGTGCAGATTTTACTTGCCTCGGGAGGGATGCAGGCAGTAGCATTGACGAGTAGACCATGGTTAATGTCTGTTTCAGGTGTGGGCATTTCTCTCCAACTGATCATTAACTTTCTTGTGTCCCTGGTCCTTTAACGTTATTATGATCCACTGCATACTCCATGGTGCCCAGTGTGGATTCTTACTGATTGTGTAAAAGTCTCATATCCAGAAGGAAGTGAAAAATCTGTTTCAGTTGATTAAAATCAAACAGCCTTATCACCCTGGAATTTTCTATGTGTACTGGAGTTGAGAGTCCCCCACTCTTCTGTTCATTCCACAGTCAGGAACAGTTGAACAGGGTGTGTTTTCTGTAGCTTGTTTATAGAGACGATTGCTTCTTTTTCATCTTCCAAATACAAAGTAACATGGTTTTCCATAACTCATCCAATCAGTACTGTAGGCACTGGGTAGCCATTGAAAGTTTTTAAGTGATTGAGCAGGAAGTTGGCTCCAAGGTTTTGATTCTTGGTGACTGACAAGAATAATCTGATAACTATTAACGAAGTCTAGGAATCATAGCATTAGGATGGAATGGACTTTGGAGAAGTCCTGCAGCCAACAGGTGAGGAAACTCCATCCCGAGGAAGCCCAGGAGCCAATCCCTGGCTAGTGGCAAAATTAGCACTGGGGTCCCATCTCTTGTTCACTGCCTTCAGCTCCTTTGGGATGTTGAGTAGGGGGTCAAGATCCTAAATTGAATTTAAATGACTTGAATTTAAAATGACTTAAAAAAAAAAAGCAATAACTGCAGCTTCCCAAGTGAAATTGTCTCATAACCAAATGATGAAGTTAGCCCTTTGGCATCTGGTTAGAAAATGACCTAAGGTCGGGGCGCCTGGGTGGCTCAGTCATGTAGGCGTCTGACTCTTGACTTCAGCTGGGGTCGTGATCTCACAACTTGTGGGTTCGAGCCCTGTGTGGAGCCCTTCATTGGGCTCCACGCTGCTGGGGCAGAGCCTGCCTAGTATTCTAAATACATACATACGTACGTGATTCTAAACAAATACATACATACACACAAAACAAAAGAAAACGACCCAAGGTAATAAAGAGCAGAGAGGTGATTTTCAAGACACCGTGTCTCCAGTGTACTTTGTACAAGTCTTTGGCTACAGGTCCCCTGAGCGTCACTATTTCTGTAATTCAGAAGTATAGTTCTCTCCAGAGTTCATTTACTATTTCACCTTTGAGGGGTACAGTTTGTGGAAATCTGTCATTGTGAGGGCTTTCAGCTTTTTAAATGTTCTTTTAAGTAAAGGAACTGGCTTATGCCATTAAGTGTTCAGAGTTCTTGGGAAGATCTCCTTTATAGCATTTATTCCTCTTTGTAATAGAGTATGGGAATATGCTGCATATCACATGGTTTCTTGAGTCCATGACCTTTGAGAGAGAGTTTGGTTTATTTTTATTTAAAAAAAAATATTTTTTTAATGTTTATTACTTATTTTTGAGAGAGGGAGAGACAGTGCAAGCTGGGGAGGAGCAGAGAGAGAGGGAGACACAGAACCCGAAGCAGGCTCCAGGCTCCGAGCTGTCAGCACAGAGCCTGAAGTGGGGCTGGAACCCACGAACTGTGAGATCATGACCTGAGCCGAAGCTGGACGCTCAACTGACTGAGCCACCCACCCAGGTGCCCCTATTTTATTTTTTTAAAAAAGAGTGTGTAAACTCCTTTGCTGTGAGAAGGTTGCTCCTTTTCCATGTATCAGCAGCAGGGTCTGGCATCTACAGATGAAGCTTATCTGGCAGGTGGTGGAAAGAAGGATGGCCCCAAGTGTCTGTGCTGAGTGACCAACTAATAGGACGAGGGCAGAAATAGGAATTTATTCAGTGATTCCTGTTTATTTTCAGGCGCTGTATATATTGACCAGTACTGCAATCCTCTCTCTGACATCAGCCTCAAAGATATCCAGGCCCAGATTGACAACATCGTAGAGCTGGTCTGCAAAACCCTCCGGGGCATGAACAGTCGCCACCCCAGCTTGGCCTTCAAGGCAGGTGTGGAATTGCTTTGGATCCAACTGTATTTGCAAAAGAAAACCTAGCAGAGCTATTGGTTAATGTGAGAAATTCTGTAGTATGTTTCCATTATGTTACCAAAGAAGCAGTTAATGACACAACCACATGTTCACTTGGAAATGTGAAAGACTTGAACTTCATATTCTTTCCTCCACCCTGGACTGGCAGCACCTACTGAGTATTGTTAGGACATTGCCAGTGTCTGCGTGTGACAGGTCGTTTGGGATGCTGGTCACAGCCTTGCCAGTGCTTCTGTCCTCAGAGTAGATCTCTGTGTTTCAGGTGAATCCTCCATGATAATGGAGATAGAACTCCAGAGCCAGGTGCTGGACGCCATGAACTACGTCCTTTATGACCAGCTGAAGTTTAAGGGGAACCGAATGGATTACTATAATGCCCTAAACTTATACATGCACCAGGTAAATGTGGGTGTATTAAAACATAATCATATGTCTTTTGGAAAGCTCATTTTTGATAAATTGTATAGTTTGGGGCACAGATACATGGTCTTTTCATCTCTCAATGCCCAGTGAAACTCACTTTTGCCTCCACTGTAAGGGTATTGCTATGGATTTTTATTTCTTTATAGTGTCCTCTGTGTGAAAACCCTTGATCATTTCCTGTCTAGAAATACACATTTCTCTGACTTTGTTTGGTTAATTTGTGTCTTATGAACACTAAACTGTGAAACTAATCGGATCTTTTTCCTACACTGGCTTCTAGAAGCCTTGGAAGAAATCTGGCCAGCCATTTTGGCCAAATTGATACTTCGTTTTTATGTGCTTCCTTCTTGACACTGTTTTCAGATTCTGTTGCTCTGTATGCTAATCTTTGTCTGTCGTGTTTCATACACTTTCCTTGAAATGACCTTAAATTCTTTTGGAAGAACAGCCTATCTGCGCTGACAGAGCGGAGCCTGCTTGGCATTGTCTCTCTTTCCCTTTCCCCCTGCCCCTCCCCTGCTCATTCTCTCTCTTTTTGTCTCAAAATAAATAAATGAAACTTAAAACAAAAAATGGAAGAACAGCCTAGATCACAGGTCTGTAGACTTTTTCTGTAAAGGGCCAAACAGGCCTTTTGGTTTGGCAAGCCAGATGCTCTGTGCCAACTGCTTAGTTCTGCCATTGTAGTTGGAAGGGGGCACAGATGTTACCAAAACAAACGGGTGCGGCTGTGTTCCAATGAAACTGTATACACGGACATAGAAATTTGAGTTTCATGTAATTTTTAATGTGTCACAAAACGGTACTCTTTTGACTTTCTTTAAACACTAAAAAATGTGAAAGCTCTTCTCATGCAGGCCGTACAGAAACAAGTGGTGGACTTGGCCCGCGGACTGCAGTTTGCAGACCCCTGATCTAAAAAAAAGCAAATGTTCATCCACTTAAACCACAAAACCTAGTGTCGTTCCTGATGCACAGTGAGTGCCTAGTAAGGACTTGCTTTGAAGGAATGAGAAGGGAAGGTTCGTTTCTGTGAAGCTAAAGGATTTTTTTTCTCCTTCAGGTTTTGATTCGAAGAACAGGAATTCCGATCAGCATGTCTCTGCTCTACTTGACAATTGCCCGGCAGTTGGGGGTCCCACTGGAACCTGTCAACTTCCCCAGTCACTTCTTGTTAAGGTGGTGCCAAGGTGCAGAAGGGTGAGCCACCTATGCCATATGTTGTGATTGGTCCTCGGGATTCACTCCCACTGTGCTGAGAGGAAGTGTGGTAACGGAACAGAGGTCGACTAGGGCACGGGGGGTGGGGCAGCTGTCTTGTTCCTTGGCCATCAGTGACCGTATTCTGGTTCTGAGAGAAGGGCACTCTGGGTCTTTCTGTATTACTTCTTAAAGCTGCATGTGAATTTACAGTCATCTAAAAGTACGTATAAAGACTAGGACTAGGGGTGCCTGGGTGGTTTTGAAGGTTTCCGATTGCTGCCCCAATTTTCAGCTCTTCAGGTCATGATCTCACATTCATGAGTTCGAGCCCTGAGTCGGGCTCTGTGCTGACAGCCTGGAGCCTGCTTCCTTTCTGTGTCTCCCTCTCTCTGTGCCTCTCCCTCATTCGCACTCTGTCTCTTTCTGTCTCTCAAAATTAAATAAACGTTAAAAAAAACAAAAAGAGGAATAGAGTTCCATGGCTCAGTTGGCTAAGGATCTGCCTCTTGATTTCCGCTCTCACAATTTTTTTTTTTAAATTTTTTTTTTTTTTTAACGTTTATTATTTTTGGGACAGAGAGAGACAGAGCATGAACGGGGAGGTGGGCAGAGAGAGGGAGACACAGAATCGAAACAGGCTCTTTGGCTCTGAGCTGTCAGCCCAGAGCCTGACGCTGGGCTCAACTCACGGGAGCGAGATCGCGGATCTGGCTGCCCATCTAACCGACTGCGCGCCACCCAGTGTTTTCCTCACAATTTCTGAGATCAAACACTGTTCGGTTCTCTGCAATAAACCACACGGAGTCTGCCTCCCCTCGCCTCGCCCCACACCGCGATGGAAAACATGCACACTTCTTCCAAAATGAATAAACATTAAAAAACATTAAGTTTGTTTATTTTGAGAAAAGAGAGTGCGTGTGGAGCGGGAGGGCAGTGAGGGAGACATGAATCTGAAGTAGCAGGTTCCAGGCCTCATCACGCCAGCCAGCACAGAGCCCCACGGGCTGGAACTCACGGAATCAAGAAGATCCTCGGAACCTGAGTCGGTCGACACTAACCAGCTGAGTCACCAGTGCCTAACCAAATAAATCTCTTAAAAAAAAAAAAAAAAAAAAAAAGTAGGACTAGGAGTTCAGGATTTTAGGTGGATCTTAAAATCCTTTTGTTGCAAAGCAGATCAGATCAAAGAGTTCTTTTTGTTTACAAGGAATCTTGCTTTTTACTTTTTTTTTAAGTTTTTATTTAAATTCCAGTTAGTTGACCGTAATAAGTTAGTTTTAGCTTGATAATACCTAGTGATTCAGCACTTGTGTACAACACTTGGTGCCCATCACAACACGTGCACTCCTTAATCTCCATCACCTATTTCTCCCATCCCCCCGCGGTAATTTCCACCCTCGTAACTATCATCAACAGTTTATTCTCTATAGTTAAGAGTCTGTTTCTTGGTTTGCCTTTTTTTTTCTTTTCCCTTTGTTTATTTGTTTTATTTCTTAAATTCCACATATGAGTGGAATCATATGGTATTTGTCTTTCTCTGATGTATTTTGCTTTGCATAATATCCTCAAGTTCCATCCACATCCTTACAGATGGTAAGATTTCATTCTTTTTTATGGCTGAGTAATATTCCACTATATATACACACATGGATATGTATCTATATGTATATGTGTATATGTATACACACACACACACACACACACACACACACACACACACACACACACCCCGCACCTTTTTTATCCATTCACCAGTTGATGGACACTTGGGCTGCTTCCATAATTTGGCTATTGTAGATAATGCTGCTATAAACATAGGGGGCATATATCCCTTTGGATTAGTATTTTTGTATTCTTTGGATAAATACCTAGTAATGTGATTGCTGGATTAACCTTTTGAGGAACCTTCATACTGTTTTCCAGAATGGATGCACCAGTTTGCATTCCCACCAACAGTGTGCAAGGGTTCATTCCCCTTTCTCCACATCCTTATCCACACCTGGTGTTTCTTGTATTGTTGATATTCACCATTCTGACAGTGTCAGGTGATATGTCATTGTAGTTTTGATTTGTGTTTCCCTGATGGCGAGTGATGACGAGCATCTTTCCATGTGTCTGTTGGCTATTTGTATGTCTTCTTTGAAAAAATGTCTATTTGTGTCTCCTGCCCATTTTTAATTGGATTATTTGCTTTTGTAGTGTTGAGTTTTAATGAGTTTTTTTAATATATTTTGGATACTAACCCTTTATTGGATATGTCATTGGCAACTGTCTTTTCCCATTGTGTAGGTTGTCTTTTGGTTTTGTTGATTGTTTCCTTCGCTGTGCAGAAACTTTATTTATTTACTTTTTATTTTATTTATTTTTTTGTTTTTTATTTATTTTTGAGAGAGAGAGAGAGAGAGAGACAGAGCACTCGCAGGGGTGGGCAGAGAGAGAGGGGAGACACAGAAACCGAAGCAGGCTGCAGTCTCGGAGCTGTCAGCACAGAACCTGACCCGGGGCTTGAACCCACAAACCCTGCGATCATGACCTGAGCCAAGGTCGGTTGCTTAACCGACTGAGCCACCCAAGCGCCTCAGAAACTTTTTATTTTGATGAAGTCCCATTTGTTTATTTTTGCTTTTGTTTCTCTTGCCTCTGGAGACCTATTTAGAAAGAAGATGCTACCTGTGCTCGCCTCTATGATTTTAATGGTTGCCTGTCTCGTGTTTAGGTCTTTCATCCATCTTGAATTTATTTTTATGAATGATGTAAGAAAGTGGTCCAGTTTCATTCTTTTGCGTGTAGCTGTCCAGTTTTCCCAACACCATTTGTTGAAGAGACTGTCTTTTCTCCGTTGGATATTCTTTCCTGCTTTGTCAAAGATTAATTGATCATATAGTTGTGGGTTCATTTCTGGGTTTTCTGTTCTGTTCACTGATCTATATGTCTATTTTTGTGTCAGTACCAGACTGTTTAGATGACTACAGCTTTGCAAGATAGCTTGAAGTCTGGAATTGTGATGCCTCCAGCTTCGCTTTTCTTTTTCAAGGTTGCTTCGGCTATTTGGGGTCTTTTGTGGTTCCATACAAATGTTAGGATTGTTTGTTATAAATCTCTGAAAAATGCTGTTGGTATTTTGAGAGGGATTGCATTAAATGTGTAAATCGCTTTGGGTAGTTTACACGTTTTAACAATATTTATTCTTATCCATGAGTATGGAGTGTTTTTCCATTTTTTTGTGTCTTCAGTTTCTTACATCAGTGTTTTATATTTTTCAGTGTACAAATCTTTGACCTCTTTGGTTAGGTTTATTCCTAGGTATCTTACAGTTTTTGGTGCAATTATAAATAGGATTGATTCCTTAATTTCTTTTTGCTGCTTCATTATTGTATAGAAATGCCGCAGATTTCTATATGTGGATTTTGTAACTAGCGACTGACTTTACTGAATTCGTGTATCAGTTCTGGCAATTTTTTGGTGGAGTCTTTTAGGGTTTCTACATAGAGTATCATGTCTTCTGCAGATAGTGAAAGTTTGATTTCCTCATTACCGATTTGGGTCCTTTTTATTTCTTTGGGTTGTCTGATTGCTGAGGCTAGGACTTCCAGTACTGTGTTAAGTAGCAGTGGTGAAAGTAAACATCTGTCTTTTTCCTGACTGTAGAGGGAAAGCTGTCAGTTTTTCCTCATTGAGGAGGATATTAGCTGTGTGTTTTTCATATATGGCCTTTATCATGTTGAGGTATTTTCCTTGAAACCTACTTTGTTGGAGGCTTTTATCATGAACGGGTGTTGTACTGTGTCAGAAACTTTTTCTGCATCCATTGAAATGTTTGTATGGTTCTTATCCTTTCTTTTATTAATGTGGTTTATCACGTTGATTGATTTGTGAATGTTGAACCACCCTGGCACCCAGGAAGAAATCCCACTTGATCGTGGTGAATAATTCTTCTAATGAACTGTTGGATTTAATTTGCTAGTATCTTGTTGAGAATTTTTGAATCCATGTTCATCAGGGATATTGGCCTGTAGTTTTCTTTTTGAGTGGTGTCTGTATCTGCTTTTGGTATCAGGGTAGTGCTGGCTTCAGAGATTGAATTTGGGAGTTTTCCTTCTATCTCTATTCTTTGGAATAGTTTGAGAAGAATAGGTATTAACTCTTCTTTAAATGTTTGGTAAAATTCCCCTGTGAAGCCATCTGGTCCTGGACTTCTGTTTGTTGGGGGATTTTTTACTACTGATCCAATGTCTTTGCTGGTCATGGGTCTGTTCAAGTTTTCTGTTTCTTCCTGTTTTAGTTTTGGTAGTATGCTTAGTTTTAGTAATATGCTTCTCGGAATGTATCCATCACTTCCAGGATGTCCAGTTTGTTGGCTTCTAGTTTTTCATAGTACTCTTTTAATTGTTTGTATTTCTGTTTCTCCTCTCTGACTTGTGATTTTATTTATGTGGGTCCTTACTCTTTTTTGATAAGTCTGACTAGAGGTTTATCAATTTTATTAATTTTTTTCAAAGAACTGGCTCCTGGTTTCCTGGATCTGTTCTGTGGTTGTAGTTTCTGTATCATTTATTTCTGCTCTAATCTTTATTATTTCCCTTCTTCTGCTGGCTTTAGTTTTATTTTTCTTTTTCTAGCTCCTTTAGGTACAAGTTTAGGTTGTTGATTTGAGATTTTTCTTACTTGACGTAGATGTGTATTGCTATATACTTCCCTCTTAGGACCACTTTTGCTGCATCCAGAGGTTTTAGACCATTGTGTTTTCATTTTCATTGGTTTCTGTGTATTTTTTTATTTCTTCTTTGATTTCCTGGTTGACCCATTCACGTTTGGTAGCATGTTGTTTAACCTCCTTGTATTTGTTTTATTTCTAAATTATTTCTTGTGGTCGACTTCAAGTTTCATGGCATTGTGGTCAGAAAAGATGCATGGTATGATCTCAGTCATTTTGTATTTGTTGAGGCTCGATTTGTGACCTAATACGTGATCTGTTCTAGAGAATGTCACATGTGCACTTGAAAAGAACGCATATTCTGCCGTTTTAGGATGGAATGTTCTGAATATATCTGTTAAGTCCATCTAGATCAAAGAGTTCTTAAAGTCTTATTTTGCAGTCTTCCATAAAATCTCCCCTCCCTCCCTCCTCACCAGAGAGAGAGAGAGAGGGAGGATGGGGGAGGGGGAGACAGCAGGGTAGCTGAGTTCTTCACTCATGTGCACAGCAAATGCTCAGTTTCTTATCATCAGTGATGCCCCTTTTAGGTAAGGTTGGTGACTGATGTGCATTTTGTAGACCAGGTCAACAAGTTCTGTTTTGTTCTCCTTTAAGCTTGGTGTCCTATTGGACATAAAGCTTTTTTTCAGCTGTAGTCTAGCTTTTGTGAAAGAAATAGTTCATCACATAGTCAGAACTATCTTCTCATTAAATGTGCCATTTAGAGGAAAAAGAAACAAAGTTATTTAATTATTTCCTGTGCTTTGAATGACCTTGTAATATCCTCTGGCGAGTGATGAGCAGTATAGTAGTACCTGAGCTTTAGTGTTGGGCTGGGTTCAGACCTCGGCTTCCTCTGAGCCTCGGTTTCTTCCTCTGTGAAAATGGAGCACATGTTTTTCAAGCATTTGGAGGATTGAGATGGCCCAGTGCTTTATACACCTAGTAGAATTTGTGAATCATACCTGGAAGAAAGGCGTAACTCATCTCTGTATTTCTACCCCTTAGTTTAAAAAATAAAACATGAGGGGCGCCTGGGTGGCGCAGTCGGTTAAGCGTCCGACTTCAGCCAGGTCACGATCTCGCGGTCCGCGAGTTCGAGCCCCGTGTCGGGCTCTGGGCTGATGGCTCAGAGCCTGGAGCCTGTTTCCGATTCTGTGTCTCCCTCTCTCTCTGCCCCTCCCCTGTTCATGCTCGGTCTCTCTCTGTCCCAAATAAATAAATAAATAAAATAAGAAAATAAAAAATAAAACATGAATAGTTGGAGCCTCCTGGGTATTCCTCATCCCCTCCTTCTTCCTCTCCTCTGCAGAGATAACCACCAGTTACCTGCAAGTTTCTGTTATTTCCATGCAAATTTTTATAGTTCATTACATATGTATATTTCCTTAAATGGTATGCAGGGGCGTCCTTTCTTTTCCAGATACCCTTTTCTACACGTATTGCGTGGCTTTGGGTAGCAGGTACCCACTTTCCTTGATTGTAAATGGGGAATATGCTCTCTCAGTCCATTCTCTCTGCCTAGGTAACCCAACCGATTTCCCCAAATATCTCAAAAATAATCTTAAATGCCCATGTAATAATCCACCAAGGATCTCTGCATGATAGAAAGCATTTAAAACTGCAGTTACCATATTATTTGCCACAGAAACGGATTGCTGGGCACAGTTGTGCATGGTAACAGTATCATTTTTTCTTCTCAGGCTACGGTGAATGTGCACTAATGGTGCAGATGAGCAATAAAATAATTTGTCCGTACGCCAGGCACCTGGCAGAAACAAACACCGAGCCCCTGGCTGCGTCCTCAGGGCAAAGGAGTCAGGAGGCCGGTGAGAATAGTGCGGGTGCACAGCCCATGAAGCAACAGCCGGGCTGCAAGCCCTCTCCTTACCTGGACCCACGTTCATGCCCTTGGTCTCTGATCCGTCCCTGCACCAAGACCCTGTTGTCTTACTTACTGTAACTTTATCATTTACTAGTACCTGGTAGGTCAGACCCCCCCCCCCCCATCGAGTTCTTCAGAATTTCCTTGGCTCTTCTTAGCCTTTTGCTCTTCTGTAGATTTAGAATCCATTTACCAGCCTCCTTCAGAAGTCCATAAGGATGTTAATCGGTACCAGAGTTTACTTTGGATTGGATTCATAGATTAATACGAGCAGTGTTTCAGTGTTTTGCTCCTGAGTCTGTCTGTGAACGGGATGCCTCCCTACACGTGTAAGTTGTCTTTAATATCCTTAAAAAGATTTTATTGTTTTCTTCATTAAGTTCTTTAACTCTTGCCAGACTTATTTGTTAAGTACCTTAAATATTTATTGCTAATGTAAGTGGTAATTTTTAAAATTATGTTTTCTAAGTATTGATGATGTATAGGGATATGACTGATATTTAGGTATAAATCTGATAATCATCCCCTTTGCTGAATAAATTATTGGAGCTAATTGTCAACTCTTGTGGGTTTCCAGTGTAGATGGTCATATTGCCTGTGAATCGTGACCGTTTTGGTTCTTTTCTTTCTAGACTTTGTACATTTGTTTCTTATACTTATTCTGATGGCTGGGTGTTCTCACACAGAGTTGAGTAGAACCAGTGATAGTGGGTACCCTTGTCTTGGGTATGACTTTAGGTGGAATGCTTTCAGAATTTCATCATCAGGCATGATGTTTGGAGTATTTCCTTTCATTGAGATTATCAAAGCTGCCTTCTAAATTCCTAGTTTGCTTAAGTTCTTTTTAATTATTATTATTCTTTTTTTAGAAAGAGGGTGAGAGTGAGTGACGGGCAGAAAGAGAGGGAGAGAGAATCCCACTCCGCTCCCCCACACTGTCCGTGCAGAGCCTGAAGTAGGGCTTGAGCTCACCCAATGCAGGGCTCAAACTCATGAACCAAGAGATAGAATCTGAGCCAAAGTTGGATTCTTAGCCAGCTGAGCCACCCAGCTGCCCCTGCTTAAGTTTTATTAAATAAGTAGGCATTCGATTTTTTTTTTCCAAAATCTCTTTTCTGTGTCTACTGATAAAATCGTACATTTTTCTTCATACGTGCTGAAATAGGTTTTTTAGCATTCAATTCTCCTTTCATTCTTGGGGTACATCTGTCTTAATCATAGGATTTTTAAAAATACATTGCTGTATTTGATTTGCTCCTATTTTATTTAGGATTTTTGTCTGTAATCAATTTGTGTGTATATGTGTAGTTCTTCTAGACTCATAAAAAGAGTTGAAGAGCATCTCTTATTTTTGGAACACTGTGTCTGTCTTGCTACAGGAAGTATATTAATATGACTCTAGGAAGAAATCTGACTGGGCTTTTTAAAGCAGCCCAAGTGAGGGGAGCCTGGGTGGCTCAGTCAGTTGGGTGTCTGACTTCGGCT